TAGTTATCTTATCGGAGTGTTTAGATCTCATTAGTAAATCAATGTTGTTTTCATTTTGCTAATACTTTGTTTTGTTGGAAAGAACATATATTCACAAGGCAACACTGCCTTGTGAATATTTATTGTTTTGAAAATCTTCATTTGGAAAGAGAAAGGAGATGGGACCAAAAGGAAAAGATGGATAGGAAATAGCAACTCTTGTCTATCTAGTAGCATTTACATGAAAGACATAGTCCATGCATTATTTCATTTGTCTAAAAATTTGTTGAAAAAAAAAAAAACTCTTGGAGGTAGGTGTTATTATTGGTCATTTCCAGATGAAGAAGCTAGGCTTGGTTAGAGGCTCACCAATGTGCCTGCAGTCACACGGGAGATTCAAACCCTAGCATAACTGACTGTAAACTTGGATACGCCCTCCTTGATACTACTAAACTACCAGGCTGGGGGGAAAGAATAAGAAGAAGAAGGAAAAAGAAGGTGGAAAAGTGAGGAAAACAGACTAACGGAGAGAAGGGGACCAAAGTTTCATCTAATTTTTCACCCAGGAGCTGACATGTCTATTCATAGGCATAACATAAGCATTAAATGTCAAGACTGTAATGATAAAATGTAACATTGTTCTTGCTGGTGCTGGAAACTATCACTAGTAGTAGTCTGAAACATTTTATAAACACACCTACTTTAGTGTGTCTCATTAAACATTCCCCAAAATGCTACTGGCTGAGCACCAAAAAGTGAAGAATAATCCAAGGTAATCTCCCAAACACTACAGCAACAAAGTCGTGTGCAAAATGTGGGGCTCGGCACCCCAGAACAAGCAGAAGCCCACCAATGTTTATGTCGATGTCAGCAGAAAACCGTCTCTCGATTTAGAAAGCCATACAATGGTTCCCGATGTAGTATGCAACTTTTCAAACCTCTACCAAATGAAATGCTCAGATTGTTCTATAATTACATGGCAGTTACTGCCTTATGATGGTACAGACTGAGTCCCCACTGTCTTCCCACAGGCAACCATAGGCTCCAAGGGACAAACTGAATGTGTCTTTTGGGTCAAATGTTTTTCCTCATGCCCTGCTCCATTTTTCATTATCATGGCAACTTGGCACTCCTCGCCTTAATCACAGGTTTGGGAAGAGGGATGAGGTCAGCCTTCCCTCTGTTGCTAAGGCCACCGTTCATGGCTCCACTGAAGGTAAAGCACACCCACCGTAGTGCATACGCCATAGGCCAAACGGGTCGCTCTCGGCACAGCTGTGATTCCCATCAACTCGGTGCAGGTTTTAATTAGAACACAAGGAACATCTTAGTTCCTTATCACCATTAGGATATTTGAAGGAGAACTATTCACTCGATGGGGGTTTTGAGATCAGAGTGGTAAATGCGACAGGTTTTCCCTTTGCCTGGTACAAAGTGTCTCTAAAACAAACTTTCCTTAATTCAATCTAATCCAAATAAACTTAGTGTTAACTGAGATAACTGTACTCAGTCTCTGAAAGTAAAATTTTGCAGGGCAATTTATTGATACTGATGGCAAATATGTTCCAGAAATTTCAGTGGGAAAAAAAAAATACAGCAATGGGAAGTCTGAATGTGCTCAATGAACCATACCTCTCACTCCTACAGGAAAGAAGTCTTACCAGATGTTCCTCTAGCCAGTGTCAGAGGTAAGCAGATGAACGAGAAGGATGAGTGTGCACTTATTATTTGGAGATAAGAGTAAATGGAAGTTGGCAGCCCAGGCTCTATATGCCACCTGGTTCTGTTGTGTAAAGTTCTGGGTAGCTAATGACATTTTTGACATTGACCATCTTTGACATTAGTGTATGCAGGCTTTGCAGAGTGGATACTCAGTCTGGCATCTCAGAATATTGAGTAGAGCTTGAGACCAAGAGACTAAAAGGAAGTAACTCATAGAAGAAGCTCCTCAAAGCTATAGCATCCTAAATTGAGTTACTGCTTCCTCCTGGAGGGTAATATCCCATAACCTTCACAGCCAAATACTCGCCTAATGCCAGTCTCGAAGTTAGCAACTATGGTGGTACTTCGAGACTCCAGTGAACTGGAGATTTGCACTCAGGAAACCTGCCTCCTGCTTTACTGCTCCTGCAGGAAACTCTGGTTAATGTCCCCAGTGTCTTTTTATTTTCCCCTCACTGTTCTCTCTTTCTAGAACCCTCCTTACTTTCCAGGTTTTAGTGAATTCCTATTTGTCTTGCAAAATTGGCTTCTAACTAAGGGTCAGCTCTCCTCAAGAAGGCTTCCATGACCACATAACTGCTCCAATCTAATCTAGAAGTCCTTTGTCACTCCCTTAAACCCTATAAATGTCATTCAGATCACCTTACACTGCCCAGTAAAAAAAGCCATATTTGTCTGTGAGAAGCCACACCTTACTCAACTTTTTTTCAGCTGGAACCTGGCATAGTGCCCTAATCTCACAAAAGCTGGTCATTAGGACTATGCACTTGTATAACCTCTCTGTGCCTCAATTTTCTCATCTGTAAAAGGGTATAATCACAGTACATACCTAAGAGTGAATGTAAGTGCTCAGAATAAATGCTTAGAATAAATGTGAGCTCTTCTTATTATGTATTTGTGAAATTAGTAAATAAGTGTAATCTTAAGTCAGTTACTTCAGGTACAGTGTCTTCTTCTGTAACATGCAGATAAGTTTATTTCTTTACAGAGTGGTAGTAAGGATGAAATGAGATGACACAGTTAATGAAAGTACTTTGAGAGCTATAGAAGACTAGGTTTAAATGGCCCTTTTGGTTATTAGTACCTAATAAATGATATAAGGTTTCTAAACCAGAACTCAAAGAAGAGTCTTTAGTGACTAATGCAATGGTGGATCAAGGCCTGTTCAAACTTTGGTTTTTTTCCTTAACTTTGCAACTCTGGCCATATGGGACAAGGCACAATTACACGGACTATGAACAAGGTTAAGGGAAAATAGATCCCAAAAGTCAATGGAGAACTGGAATACTAACCATCTGAAAAGAACGTCAACATCCACAAAATATTGAACATCCAGAGAACTTAGGATACAGAATCATTGCTAGTTGATTCTGATCATATCACAAAATCCATGGAATTCAAGAGCTGGGAAATATATTGGTAATCGTTTCTTCCAATTCCTTCATTCTACCGATGAGGAAACTGATGTCTATGGGCCCCAAACAACTGACCCAAAGCCACATACCAAGCGAGCGACGAACAGCTTGCCTCCTAATTTGTAGCCTATAGGTTTAAATTAATTTTGCTTGTATCATGTTGCCACCACTATTTTTGTAGGGCGGACTTCAGAGACAAACTTGGGTTCCAATTCCAGTTTTACCATTTATTAATTCTGTGACTTTAAGGAAGTTCTTGAACGGATGGAAGTCACAGTTGCTTCATTTGTAAAATAGGGATCCTAGTGTCTCTTTTAAAACTTCACCCTGTGATAGAAGAGAGGGTGTCTGTACATCAGGTAGCAAAACCTGTGCTTCGTGCCTGCCGCAGCCTTCACGAACTTTCTAGAGTAACTTAAAATGGAACAATGTTCTTTAAAACCAAACAATGCATAAAGACCAAGACCATGTTGTAAAACATCTCTCCTGAAGAGAGTATCTAAAAACTGACATTTGTGAAATTTTCTTTGGTATTGAAGTGGTTAAAAAAAAAATCCTTCTTCCTTCTGGTTTAAAACCTGGCTGCACCCCCGTTCTCCCTTTCCACATCCCGTGCCCTTCTCCGTGGCAGCAGTCACGTATAACAGGGTCATAGGAAAGCAGTGTATAGCACAGAGCGGCTCTATATCTCGTGTTTGCGCTCTCACCTCCGCACCTCTCCCACCAGGTAGGGTCAGGCTGCCAGTGCCGGCTACGGCCCTACCCTCCTCCCTTCTCTTTCTGCTCAACCGCAGCTCTAAGGATGTGTCTTGTGTGAGGACGGCTGCCTTTATCAACGCATCACGAACTGCTCCGGAGCGAGCTGGGCTCTGTCTTCCTCGGAGGACCACAGCTCTCTTGTCCGCGTTCCCGGATGCCTATCCCCGCGGCCAGCGTCCACCTCCTCCAACACAGGCCTTTCGGCGGGGCCCCCTGACTACCAACGTCTCGCGCTCTGATACCCGCCTTTCTAAAGGTGCGAGACCAGACCGAGTTCTAGAAGTCGGTGCGGGCAGCCACTCGCACTGATGTCCCAGCCCTCCCCGCAACAAACACAGTACCGGGCGCCGGGCTCTATCCCGGGGCGACAAAACTTGGCTGTCTGCCTTCTCGAAGGCAGCTCGGTCCCCCCAGGGCACCCCGCGTGCTTTGCATCTGCGGCGAGGAATGAGCCCCAGGAGGGTGCCCAGGGCGCGCACAGCCTAAAGCACGCGGCGGCGACAGGGCCCGCCGTGGTGGCGCGGTTGAGAAGACACCGTGAGTCCCAGCTAACCTCGGACTCTGAGTCCACACGTCCTCTCCACCCCGACCCCCCCCCCCCGCCCCGGGAGAACCAGGAGCCACCATTCTGGCCTCTGAGGTGGGAGAGCAGGAGCCGGACCCCGGGAAGCCAGGGCGGCTCACACTGGTCGCCACCCAGCCGCTCCGGAGCCCCGCTGCCAGCCACAGGGAGGCTTCCCGCCGCGTCCGGACGACCAGGCGGCGGTGGGCACCCCTATTCCCTCACGCCAGGGCTAGGGGTATGAGGCGGGAAAAAGGAAACCTCGCGAGTTGGAAGGGGGCGCCGCTAGCCCTCTGGCGGGGTCCCCACAAGCCCTTGTCGGGGAAAGGGACGAGGCCACCCCGACCCACAACAACGCCCCTGTCCCCGCACGCCCAGGAGCTCGGGCGGGGCTGGCCAGCCCCACCGGCACCTCAGGCGCACGCAGCCCCTGCGTCCTTCCCCAACGCGACCTCCGGCTCGCATCCGCCCCGGAGCGGCGCGGGGCGTCCGGGGGTGTGCGCCCCGCGCTCTCCGCGTGCCCCACGGTCCCGGGCCGGGCGGCGGCAGCCGGGCGCGCTCACCAGATGGCCATCCTGCTCTTGGGGTAGTCCAGCCGCTCCAGGCAGCCGAGGAAGTGAGGCAGCGCGTGCGCCGCGTTGCGGGCGAGGATGGCCACTAGCACGGTGGGTCTCTGCACCGGCGACTCGGGGAAAACCTCCGGCTCCTCTTCGTCGTGCTCCGAGTCGGGCTCCGCGGCGAAGCGCGCCGGGCAGCCGCGGCGGAGCAGAGCGGCGGACAGGAGCAGCAGCGAGCAGGCGAGGGTGGCGGCGCGGCGCGCAGCCATGTTCGCGGCCGCGGCGGGCGGCGGTAGACTGGCGGCCCGAGGGCGCGGAGGCCGGCTGCGAGCGCTGGACGGGGGACGCGGCGGCCGGGTCGGCTGGCGCGCGCGCGCTGGCACCGGGCCCTGCAGCCCCGGAGCCTCCGGCCGCCGCCGCACCCGCCAGGCCCTGAAGCGGGGGCGCACCGAGGACCTGCGGCCGCGGCGCACGCCTGGGGCTCCCGCTCGCGGACAGCCGCGTGTGGGGGGCTGTCCGTCCCGAGTCCCGCGGAAAGTTCCTCTAGTCCAGGCTCAGCTCGTACAGCTGAGGTCTGTGGCTTCCCCCGGAGCCGCGAGGTGTGGCCGTCTCTGCCAATGAGCCTGTGTGTGTGTGTGTGTGTGTGTGTGTGTGTGTGTGTACATAACGGTGCAACTCCGAGAAAATTTATTCTGCTTTTGCAAACCGCAGTCTAAAGTCCTTCACAGTGATGCAATGTATCCAGTTTTGCATAATGCACCTATTGACTGGACGGGTAGAGTTCTAAAATGGAAAGTCACCCAGGTATCCATTACTATGGTAAACATTTTTTTTTTTAACTTCCACAAAGGCAGAGTGTTTGCATTTCCCTATACACTCACTCAATTCCTCTTGAAGTTCATCCTTGACTGAGCAGAACCCCATTATGCCAAGCTTGCAGACTTGGAGAATTTGAGAGTCAGACTGAATCCTTCGCAATTAAAAGGAAGCCCCTGAAGGCGCCTTAAGAAACCTCACCTCTCTCCCTTCCACCCCCAGGGTCCTGCGCTTCCTCACAGGATGGCATAAAAGCCAAGTTTCACCTAAATGATTTTCTTTTTCCTTAGTGACCCAAAGAGTAACAAATGCAGGGAAAATTCATACCTGTTGGAGTAGGAGAGAGAGAAATAAGGAAAGAGAGAAGAAGGGGTGAAGGAAGAACACAATTAGCACATAAAATGTCATTACTAGGATAGACTGCCACAGGATATCTGCTCTTCGAACATAACATAGGAAAGAGAGGAATGAAATCTGGAGTTCCTTCTTTGTGGAATTGTGTGGTCTTTGATCTATCTATGTGCAGGATGGGTTGGTACCACTGTGTATCCATGACCTCCAACCCCAGTTCACCCTCAGCCCTGTCCCACAGATTTTTTACTTCTTTTGTGTCCCTCCTTTGCAACTATTAGAAGTCTTCATCGCTCTCCTCCCACCCCCTCAGGTCCTCAGAAGACTATCACCTCCTTTGCTGAACTCCTTCAATGGCCTGTCACTAATATCCCTCCTTGCAGGCTCCTATTCCTAACAGAGCTTTTGACCCCATCCTCTCCGTTCTCATCCATGACTTGGCTTTGCTCCATCGTTTATCTTTACTCTCTACCAGCTCTTCCCCCTCAAGATAAAAACTTAGTCCTCTCCTATTCTTGAAAAAAAAAAATGTTCTTTTAATCCTATGTCTTGTAGCAATCCCCTCAGTCTTGGCCAAGCTCCTTCAAAAAGGGGTCTACACTTGCTTTATCCACTTCTTCATCTCCTACCTCTCCTGCTTCTTTACAGAGGCTGTTCCGGCAAAGCCACAGATGACCTCAGCATTCTGGAAGATTCAGTGACCTCTTTTCAGTTCTCACCTTCCTGGACCTGTTTCTACTGTGTTTGCACCCTGTCACCAGGTGCCCCTTCATAATGTGCTACTCTTCTAGCACAGTATGGTCTCCCAGCATAATTGCATCATGCAAATCTATGTCTCCTGGTCTAACCTCTTCTCTGACATATAAACTTTTATATAGAGTGGCCTACGCACATTTCCTTCTCCTCCATCCTCCTTTGGAAACTGCTATTGTTATCCTGCATATAGGCCACAGGGACTGTTAGTGTGCCCTTTCCCCGGGATGACATGGTATTGATGGACACTTGCTGGCATTCCTAGAGCCTAGTCTTGTAGGGTGTATTCAGTTTTCTGAATGTTCTCCTTGCTGATTACAAAAAAAACCTGTTAACCATTTATGGCCTGGCAAAGAAAATGAGATTTTCCCTGATGGTGGAGATTTGTAAAATACACATTTCACATTCTGTGAATATGTATTTTATTAATCATAAGAACAGGCATATAATATGGAAACAGTAGTTTATATGTGTGAAATGTAGTGTAGATTTAATTAGTCTGCAGACAAAACTTGGTGCAGAAGCAGATTCCGCAGCAGAATATATAAACTTCACAAAACTCTATTACCCATTGGGCTAACTAATGAATTCAGTAAAATTACAAGATACAAAATCAATGTGCAAAAATAAGTTGGGTATATACACTAACAACAAACTACCTGAAAAAAAAATCCAACTTTTAGTGGCATCAAAAACAATAAAATATTTAGGAATAAATTTAATGAAGGAAGTGAAAGACCTGTACATTGAAAACTATTGATGAAAGAAATTGAAGATGACAAAAATAAGTGGAAGTATATCCTCTGTTTATGGATTGGAAGACTTTACTAGTGTTAAAATGTCCATACTAATCAAAGCCATCTATAGATTCCATGCTATTCCTTTCACAATTCCAGTGGCAATTTTAAAGAAAAAAAAATCCTAAAATTCACATGGAACAACAAAAGACCCCGAATAAACAAAATAATCTTGAGAAAGAACAAAGAAGGAGGCATCACACTTCCTAATTTCAAACTATCTCACAAAGCTATAATAGTTAAAACAGTAAGATACTGGCATAAAAGGGGACACATAGACAAATAGAACAGAATTGAGAGCCCAGGAATAAACCCATGTATATATGCTCAACTAGTGTTTGACAAGGGAGCCAGGAATGCACAATGGAAAAAGATCATCTCTTCAGTAAATAGTACTAGGAAAACTAGATATTTGCACACCAAAGAATGAAACTGGACCTTTACGCCACTTGAAAAATTAACTTGAAACAGGTTAAAGACCTAAACATAAGAACTGGAACTGCGTAATTCCTACAAGAAAATACAGGAGAAAGCTCCTTAACATTGGTCTTGGTAATGACTTTTTTTCAAAATGATACCAAAGGCACAAGCAACAGAAGGAAAAATAAACAAGTAGGACTACCTTAAACTAAAATGCCTCTGTCAACAAGATGAAAAGACAAGCTATGGAATGGAGAAAATGTTTCCAAACCATGTATCTGATAAGGGGGTTAATATCCAAAATATACAAGGAACTTGTGCAACAATAGCACGCCAATAATCCTATTTTCAAATGGGCAAAGACCTGAATAGATATTTTCCCAAAGAAGATATACAAATGGCTGATAGGTGCATGAAAATGTGCTCAGCATCATCAAGGAAATCATCAGGGAAATGCAGATCAAAACCACAATGACCGTATCACCTCACACCTATTAGTAGGACTATGATCGAAAAGGCAGTATGTAACAAATGCTGTCAAGGATGTGGAGAAAAGGAGGCAATCTGTACACTATTAGTGGGAATGCAAATTGAGGTAACCATTATGGAAAACAGTATGGAGTTTTCTCAAAACATTAAAAATAGATCATGTGATCTAGTGATTCCACTTCTACTTTTAGATGTGAAGAAAATGGAGTGATAGTCTCAAAAACATATGTGCACCCACATGTTCCTTGCAGCATTATCTATAGTAGCCATGACATGAAAAAATAAGTGTCTGCTGATGGGTGAATGGATAAAGAAAATGTGGCCTGTGTGTGTGTGTGTGTGTGTGTGTGTGTATACATGAAATATACATTTATAAAAAGAAGGAAATCCCTTCATTTGTGACAACATGTGAACTTTGAGGCTATTATGCTAAGGAAAATAAATCAGAGAACTCTGTTATATGGTTATATATGGGATCTAAAAAAGCCAAACTCACGGAGACAGAGAGTAGAATGATGGTTGCCAGGATTGGGGGATGGGGGAATGGGTGAAGGTGGTCAAAGGGTACAACCATCTGTTTATAAAAGGAATCAGTTCTGGGATGTAATGTAAAATAATGTAATGTAAAAAACATGATGACTATAGTTAAGAACACCCTATCATACACTTGAAAGTTGTCAATAGAATAGATCTTAACACAAAGTTCATTCGACATTTTAAAAATCACTCAAAAGAATTTTACAAAATCCAATGTGCAGTCTCCTATTGGGCTCACTCAACCTGATAAAGGCCATGCACAATACCCTACACCCAACAATATATTTAATGGTGAAAGAATGAACGTTTTCCTCCTAAGATCAAGAACAAGACAAGAATGTCCTAACTCAGCACTTCCATTCAATATGGCAGTGGATGTTTTAGATAGGGCAACAAAGAAGGAAGGAAGGGAAGAAAGGAAAGAAGGAAGGAGAAGTGAAGGGAGAGAGAGGTGGCAGGAATATAGTTAGGGATGGAAGGAAATAGGAAGGCTCATTTAAAACAAGCTAAGTATGTCAGCAGATACATTTTAACATGAACGTGTAGGGTAGATTTAGAACTTCTATGCCAGTGGTTCCAAATTCAATGATTTATTGAAATCTATTTCATTAACAAGATAAAAAATATGTTGAAGATGGAAAAAGGAAAAAAAAAACCATCGCAAATCCACTACCCCACCACAACCACTGTTGAATGTTTGGGGATAATTTTAATATGGCACTTTTAATTTGGGTGTTTTAATTGTGAGTTTGTTCTCATTCCTGCTAGTGAAATTCAACACTCATGTTGACAGCAAATGTGAATACATATCTAGAGACAGAGATGTGATATTTTTTTCGACTGGGAATTGCTTTTGGTACCTTTTCACATTTACAAAGCCAAGTATTATTTAAGACTGCATGTCTGCAGCTGTTTAAGTATTTTATATACTGAAATGACCAATTTATTATCACTTCTAATCTAATTCTTAGAAAAAGCCAAAATAAAATATTTAATAAACATGGAATACATACATTATCTATTTAATATATTATATATTCAAATACTACCAATAAATTCAAAGTCCACATACCTAGCACCCATCCTGAGAAACAGAACATGAACCATCAACTTTGACACCCTCTGGGTATCCCGTCCTGTCACAAAATTCTGCTCTACTCCCCAAAGACAAGCACTAGCCTGAATTTTGTATTAATCAGTTTCTTAATTTTATTTAGAACTTTACCTCCAGTGATGGTAAATTTTATGGGTCAGTTTG